GCTCGTTAACCGAAAAATTCGTAAACCAAAACCGTTGTTTCAATGGGTTTTTGGGTAATTGGTTCCAGCTCACCGAAAATTGCCTAAAGTCAACAAAAAAGGTAGTAAAGTACACTTAATTTGAGGTGTGTATGTAGAAGGGTCCTGGATGATGATGCTGATGTGAATTTGAAGTGGGAGGTGGAGGAGGAGAATGGAGAAGAGAAGGAAGTGGAGGTGGAGGAGAAGCATTTTACTGCTTCTTGGAAGGTGCGTCACCTTCCATGAAAATGTCAGGAACCTCTGGACTGGCAGATTCTCCACCAGGAACATCCTCTCTCCTTCTTGAAGTGGAAGGCTGAGGGCTAGCATCTTGTTCCCGCTGCCTTTTACTGAAGAAACTGTTAATTTTTGTCTGTGGGGCATCTTTCCTCCTCATCATTAACTGATGTTTGAAGAAGGAGACCACTGTGTCCTCAACATGACACAAAGTTAGTTCAGACTTTTCCACATCTGGGTGCCTTGAAGCCAGTTTCCTGAACTTCTCCCAGTGGTGAACAACATCTTTCAACTCTGAAGTTGACATATGGTCATCACTTTCTGTTTCCTCCTCACCACTGTCAGCCTCTAACATCTCATCCAGTTGCTGCAAGTCATCTGGAGTAAGTTCCTGTTCATGAGACATCACTAGCTTTTCTACATCATCCTCCTCCACTTCAAGGCCCAATGACTGACCAATGGACACAATCTCCTGGTGCAACTGTTTCATCCTGAAATCCCTCAAAATCATGGACTACTGATGGCCACAGTGCTTTCCATGAAGAATTGAGGGTTCTAGTGGAGACTTCTTGCCATGAGGACACAATCAATTTTACAGCCTCCAGGATGTTAAACTGTGTCTTCCAGAACTGTGCCAGTGTTAGTTCAGGATCAGTGGAAGTTGCCTGATGACATCTCCTGAACAATTTCTTCATGTACAGCTTCTTAAAGTTGCTGATCACATTCTGGTCCATTGGCTGTATGATTGATGTAGTGTTGGGAGGCAAAAACAACACTTTGACAAAGTCAAATTGAGACTCCAAAGTTCTGGCAAGTTGAGGGTCATGACCAGGGGCATTATCCATGAGGAGAAGAGCCTTTAAAGGGAGTTTATTGGTGGTTTGGTAGCTCTTCACAGAAGGGCAAAACACCTCAACAGGCCATTCATTAAAGAGCTGTCTTGTTACCCATGCCTTACGGTTGGATTTCCAATTAACTCCAAGCCGTCCACTTACCACTTTCTGTTGCTTGAACACCCTGGGGTTCTCAGAGTGGTAGACAAGCATAGGTTTCAGTCGGAAATCCCCTGAAGCATTGGCACCAAGCAATAGGGTGAGACGGTCTTTCATGGGTTTATGCCCAGGTAAAGAGGCTTCATCTCTGGTGATGAATGTTCTTTTGGGCATCTTTTTCCAGAACAGCCCAGTTTCGTCCACATTGAACACTTGCTGTGGAAGATAATTTTCTGTGTCCATCAGTTCTTTAAATTCCACTAAAAACTTTGCTGCTCCTTCCTTATCAGCACTGGCAGCCTCACCATGCCTAACAACACTAAATATGTCACTTCTTTTCTTAAATTTTTCGAACCAGCCTTTGCTGGCCCGAAAATCTTCAAAGTCTGTGCCTGAAGAACCAGGTTGATCTACCTTTAAATGTTCGTATATTTCCCTGGCTCTTTCACAAATAAATTCAGTAGAAACCGAATCACCTTTCATCTGTTTTTCCCTAATCCAGATGAGAAGTAACCTCTCTGTTTCTGCTATTAGGGATCTACCTTTGAACACTTTGGTATATTTGTCTCTCACTTTCACTTCCTTGAATTTGTCTTTCTGTGCAAGAATTGTCAACACAGTTGATGTCGACATGCCATATTCTTTGCTTAGCACATTTGTTCTAATGCCTTCTTCATGTTTTCTAATTATTTCCTGTTTCATCTGAATTGAAGTCGCTTTTCTAGATTTCTTGGGACCCATGCTGGATTCAAAAACAATTTCAACACGTGATATTTTAAGTTTAATTGCTGTAAATAAAGAATATTTTCTTTAAATTAACACTGCACGGCGCTATATATCATCAATATGTAAAATAAATTTCAAAATGACCAATAATTTGAATGAAAACACAGAAAAAAATCGTTTATGTTGAAGAGAGTCTGAAGCAAGATGTTACCTCCACTGAAAAGACACAGAGACTGACGCCTGTTTGGTGTGTTGACAGGCTGTTTGGCGCACATAAAACTAGTTTCCTGTACTTCAATTATGTTCAATAACTGTTAAATTGACTAAAAAAAATTATATAAAACTTTTAAAATGATTGAATAGTACATCTTTCTTGATATTTACTAAAATGGTAAGGAATTTAAGCCCTAGAACCGATTACTGTATTGACGGACTAATACGACAGCTGGTGTGCAAGCGAAAACATGTTGAGGGCCTCTCGTAAGGAATTCGTTAATCGAGGGAATGCTCGTTAACCGAAGTTAAGAATCCTATGGAAGGTAATTCGTTAACCAAAATCTCGTTAACCGAGGTGCTCGTTAACCGAGGGATCACTGTACAAAGTAAAAAAAAATGCAGTAAAGTACACTTGCTTTGAGGTGTGTATGTAGAAGGCTTCTGGTAGAAGATGATGGGAATTAGAAGTGGGGGTGGAGGATAAGGGAGAAGAGAAGGAAGTGGGATGGAGGAGAAATCACCTTTCAGGGGACCCATGCTTGATGCAGTAATTTCACCAATAAAATTTTAAGTTCACTAGGTGTAATTCAAGATTATTTTATTTAAATCAACACTGCACTATATATTATCAATATGTTAACTAAATTTCAGAATGACCAATAATTTTAATGTAAAAATGCAAAAATATTCAAGACACCAACAAAATCGATGTTCACTCCACTGCAAACAAAGCCAAACTGACGCCTGGTGGGTGAGTCAAGCGGCTGATGGGCGCACAAAAAACTAGTTCCCTGTACTGCATATATTATCAATATGTTAACTAAATTTTAAAATGACTAATAATTTTAATATAAAAAAAAATGCAAAAATATTAAAGAGCACAACTTTCTTGATATTTACTCCACTGGAAACGAATGTAAATATAGAACAGATTACTGAATTGGCAGACTAGCCCATTAGCTGATCAGTTGATGCTGACAACAAAACGTGATGTCGTAAGGATTTCGTTAATCGAAGTTTTGTTCGTTAACCGAATTGAAGATCCTTATGGGAGGTAATTCGTTAACCGAAATTTCGTTAATCGAACCGTTTGTATATATATATATATATATATATATATATATATATATATATATATATATATATATATATATATATATATATATATATATATTCTTTTCCTACACATGACACTTCTAGACCCTTCTTTTCTCCCTCATGGTTGCTGCCAACTTTTCATCGTACAATTTTTACGTCTTTTTCTTTCTTAATTGTTTTGTACCCCTACACCTCAGCTGCACTTTCTAAGGCTACTGTTTTAAATAGTTTACTGTATATTGTTCTTTAAACTATATTTCTTCACCTCCACCTTCATCTCTTAACGTTTCTTAAATCTTACATCAACATTCTCTCTCTATCCACAGCTCCTCAAATTTTTTAATCTTTCTACTCGCTTCTTTGGCACTCTTTCACTCTGAACTTCTACCCAGTAATGTTCAGACCCTCTTTTCTGTCACCCCTCTTAATGCTTTCTCATCAGTCAATTTTCTGCCTTCTATCCACCAACACATAGTTCAACAATCTTCTTATCTTCTCTATTATCCTGCTTCCATGTACACTTTACTTAAGAATTTCTCTATTTAAACCACATGTTCTGCTCTATCAAACTCTTATCAGCTTATATTTTTATCAGTCTTTCACCATTTCTATTTATTTCTGTCACTCCATAGCTTCAGTCCCCTATCGTTACCACTCATTTATTACAGGGGGTCCCCGGGCTACGAACAGATTCCGTTCCTGAGGAAGTTTGTAAGTCAGATTTGTACGTAAGTCGGAACATATGCTATATGCATACCATACTTACAAAACAATGTTTAAAATCCTACTATATCACAGCCTAAGTCCTTATATACATCTAAAAGCACTTAATTTAAGACAAAGGAAGAAATAGTATGACAAAATTCAGTAAATGAAAGTAAAAAAATATGTCATCAGGTAAATAAAATTCTGTACTGTAAATTTCAAGTTTAACCCCGTTCGTATCGGCAGACGTTCGTAAGTCGGGGACCTCCTGTATACTAATATTTTCTAATACAGTTATTCAGATCTTCCCAGAGCTCCTCTGTGTTCCTTCTTACCCTTCTTATTCCCTGGTGCACATGTACACACTGTAACTAACCCCCTGTTATTGTTATCCATAATGTTCAGATGTTCTCTCACACAACACTACAGCACCACCACACCTTCATTCACCTTTAACTTGGTCAGACACTCTTGACTTCACTTTATTCATTGCCCTTCAATTTTTTTGCACACAACAACGATATCCAGGTTAATTTCACTCAAAGTATTTTAATTTTCTGTCCTCTCATCAGTCTGATTACCTACATCTACACACACATTTAAACACTTCATTGTGAATCGTTTGTTTCTTTGTTGTAAGTGAATACCCGGTACAGTATAAGAAGGTGGGGGTTACTAGGCCCATACCCCCATACTAAGATTAAGGGTGCGTCAACCCCCAAACAGGCAACTTGGTCTCATGCCTATATATTGTGTGTTTTGATATATATCCACACATTATATATGTACAGTATATTCTATATATCTATTTCTTATCCATTTACAATAATAGCTGATGGACATTGAACCACTAGCCATCACCAATCTAAAAAGAAAAATAAGACCCCAGCGTGTGTGAGAAATCACTAGCTTTTATAAAGTTTGTGTTCCACACTGGGTATATGTTGTTTTTAGATTGATTTCGTGTGTGTATGTTTTGGGTGACAGCCTTGCATTTCATTGCAGGCTACCAGCCAGTGAGTGGGCCCATGCCGGTTAAAGCAAATTACACAGCCACCACCTCAGACGGCACCAGCCCCTACAAGGCTCCCAAGGGATCACCAGTGGCAGCAGCTCCCCCTTATTCCTCTCCTCCTAGGCTTACTTCTCCTCCACTCCCAATTAAAGCTCCTCCCAATCAGTCTGGTTCTGAGCCCTATACTCCACCCTACCAGTACCCTACCTACAGCTATCACCCGGCTCCCCCAGCCCCACCACCGCACGTAGCGCCCTATGACAAGTATTATCCAAGGGGAGCAACATACCACTTTTATCCTCCAACTTACTCTGGGGGTCAGTATGCTGCCCCAGGTGCTGAGTATTCCTATCCTCCCCCACAACCTGGAGGTGTTCACTACTCTCAAGAGAGCTACACTTCCTATACCCTATGTGTGCCCAACCCTCCTCCCCAGGGACCCCCCCAGGCATTAGCTCTGCCTCCCCCACCGCCACCCACGTCCAATGGCCCTCACCCTCCTGCGTATGCCACATATCACTACACGGAATATACACCGGTCTTCACGTATCCTCCCCCGGGTACGATTGTTAAAATAAACTTCATAGGTGTGTTTTGTTTGCCCTGTTTGTTTGTTTGATTGTTATAGATGCATGCCCATGGACATTTTGTGATTGTCTTGTGCTTATTGGCTTGTGCTTAGGTACACTTACTTATGCTTAATCTTTTTGTTTTATCGTTTCGTATTGTGCAATAACATAGTTTTAGCTTGTAATATTTTATGTATTCCTGAAGCATGGTTCAAACAATTTCATAGCATAGATATATATTTCTTAGTAAATAATTTATTGATTTATATACTTTTTGTTTGTAAATTCTGGGGGAAAGTGTGATTAAAACCTTTACTAGCATTTTTTTTTTTTCCCTACAGGACCCTCATCACAGAGTACAATTTGCTGTCCAGTGGATCCAAAAAACGTGCATACTTGGCCCCCTACTGGAAATGGTAGAGGGCCAGAAGCTGCAACAAACAGCGCAAACCAGTGCAGTAGCATGGGCCAAGGTGGGGGTCCAGGCTACCAATATCAGTATCACCCCACACAACAACCACCGCCTCATCCTCCTCATAGTGGAGCCCAACAAGGCTGTGGTGCAACATCAGTGTACCATACTGGTCCTCTCACTACTGTGATGACCACTGGTACCCAACCAACCATCCAGGTGTTTGGAACTGTTGTACCACAACAAACAGTAACTCTAATGCCATCCCAGGATCCCCAGGCAGTTACTGCCCCTCCTCCCAATGTTCCCCCACCAGTGCCTGCCCCAGTGCCTCCCGATGTGCCTCTCTCTCAGCCTCATCCTACCACCACCACGACCATGGTGGCCATGGCACCTATCACCGTTACTGTGCCCATCAATCCTGGGGCTCCTGTTGGTTCTCAGTCTGTGGTACAGTCAGGCAGAGCTCCAACACAAGCAAGCACAACTGTTTCTGGGGTTCCAGAACATACTATAACTACACCACAGCAAGCTACAACCTTTGTTTCTAGGATTCCTCAACATGCCATGACTCCTGTTCATGTAACATCAGCTGTTACCTCTGAGGTGCCTCAACCAACCACATCTCCCTCAAAGCCTGCCACAGCTCTTGTTTCTGAGGCACCGCAGAATGCCTTAGCTTCTGCACAAGTTTCTACAGCTGTTGTCACTGGCATTCCTCATTCACCTGTCATCCCTTCAGGAATTAACACAGCTGTAGTTACTGGAGTTCCTCAGTCTGTCAAAAATCCCACAAGGCCTACTACAGCTGTTGTTACGGGTGCACCACAACCAGATGTAACTCCTTCACAGAATATAACAAATATTTCTTGTGAGTTATCTCAGCCTGTTGCTATTCCATCTCAGGTCACTACAACAGTCACACCTCGAGTACCCCAATCAAGCTTGGGTCATCAAGGTACTTATGCTGTAGTCACTGGTATACCTCAGTCTGTTGTGGCACCAACACAGGTCACTGCAGTTGTGGTCACAAGTGTACCTCAGTGTGTTGTAGTACCTACACAGGTTACTACAGCTGTGGTTACTGCCATACCCAAACCTGTTGTGGTACCTACACAGGTCACTACAACTGTGGTCACTTCTGTCCTCCATCCTGTTGTAGCACCTACACAGGTCACTGCTGTACCTCAACCTGTTGTAGCACCTACACAGGTAACTACAAGTATGGTCTCTGCCAAACCCCAACCTGCTGTTGTACCTACACAGGTCACAACAGCTGTGGTCACTGCCATCCCACAACAGGTTGTGCCACCTACGCAGATCACTACAGCAATCGTCCCTGGTATACCTCAACCTGTTATGGCTCCTACACAGGACACTTCAGTTCCATCAGAGATCCATGGCACCATCGTATCCAGTGTGAGTCAGCTGGTGAGCCAAACTCAACCCACTGACATCAGAGTATCTGGGGTACCACAGTCTTCACTGGATGTAGCAGAGGTGAATAGCCCTGTTAGTAAATTTCATACAACTTTCACACATGTTACTGCTGGAATTTCTAGTGGGCCTAAACTCCACAAGGATTCTTCACAAACTAGCATTTCTGCCATGCCTAAACCTCATTTGGTTTCCACGCAAGCTGCCACTGCTGTGGTCACTGGTGTTCAGAAAGCTCACACAGATTTGACACAAGGTACTGTAGCTGTTGACACAAGGGTCTTAGAACCTCACAAGGTTTTGTCACAAGTTACTACAGCTGTTGTGACAGGTGTGCCTAAAGTCCCCATGGTTTCCACTCAAGCAAATACAGCCATTGTATCTGGAGTGCCTCGACTATCAGTGAGGCCAACACAGGTCACAACAGTTAGCATTTCTGGTATTTCTCCTTCTGTGACCAATGTTTCACAGATCACAACAGCCACTTCTGCAGAGGTTCAGAAGGTTGCAGATCCAATAATAAAGGCTGCTGTAGATATTAATCCTGAAAAACTCCAACATGATGTAAATTTATCAAATGGAACTTCATTCAAAATTACAAGAAATACATATACAATGGTTGCTAGCCAGGGTTCTGAGCATAGTTCTGTTGATGCTAAGAAAAATATTTCCATTACTACTTCACCACAGCAAAATTTTAAGGATGTCATAGACACTGTTGACATGGATTCACAGACTACAACAGCAAGAGCAGTGCTTGAACCAACCCAGAGTGTGTCTGCTCTTGGAACTTCGTTCAAAGAAGGATTACGAAATACATGTTCAGTGCCTCCCATGGATGAGGGCGGAGTTGTAATTAAGGAACTTCCTTCTGCTAAGAACAGAAAAGCCAGATCTTCTGTTTCAGACCTAGAAATAGAATCTCTTCGATCTGTCAACACTGCCACATCTGCCCAAGTTGGTCCAGATCTTATTATAAATATGGACTCTAGACCAAATAAAAGTTGGAGTCCAACACAGTCAGGAACTTCTTCAGAAACCACACCATTTCCATGTGCCTCAAATGCTGTTTGTGATGCTCAGACCACGACCTCGGTTACTAATAGTTGTATAACCAACGTGCCAGAAGTTAGTGGGAGTTTTACAGGAAGTGCCTCTGATTTGGTTTCTTCTTCAAGGATGACTCTGACACCTTCAGTTGTGGCACCCTCTACCAGAAGCCATACCCTCACTGGATTATCAGAAGGAGTGGTTCTGAATCCTAGCAAGCCGACAGTTGCAACTCAAACCACAAGTACAGCACCTACTATATGTAAGTCCACCATGGCTGGTACTAACAGTCAACAAGGATCAATCTCTGTGAGAGACAAGTTAATTATGAGTGTACAATGTAAAGTAGCACAAACTAAAGATAGTGATACAGCTAAGAATTTTGTACCCAGTGGAGGCACTCCACAAGTGGGTTATCAGAGACCTGGCCCCCGGCACCTACTTTGTCAGACATTGCCCACACCGACAGCCACTGCCCATTTAGCCAAAGCAAAGTCTTCATCCAGTTCTAATGCACACAGAATGTTGGTAAAGTCTGAAGACAAAAGTAAAGATACAAAACCAAACATTCCAGAAAATGTTCCTATTAGCCAAAGTAATTCAGGTTCTTTTGAGGTATCATCTAATATGATATCCATAGGTGACACTCAGAAAAATGATTTGAGATCCGATTTAATAGATGTTAAAACAGACATTATTAGTTCAGCGCCACTGGTTCGTAAGAGAGGTCGTCCTCCAAAAACAAGAGATACCAGTAGTGATAGTATCGTGCTGGAAACGTCATTCCCAAACCCTAATCCAGATCCTGATCATAAATCTACAGCTGTCACGTCCTGCATCCAAGGAGTGCCCTCAGAAAAAAATACTGATGTTCCTTGTGAGAGTGAGTTACATAGAAATAGGACTAATGATTTATGCTCACAAGGAAAAAACTTGAGATCTCAGACAGAAGATAAGAAAAAGGAATATTTAAAATCTTCCAAATTATCTCTCTCACCTTCCAAGCAGTTAGACTGCAAACATGATATCAAACCTAGTGATCCAATGAAAATGATGAGCATCAAGACAGAAGAAGTTTTGTCAGAAATTAAGACAGAAGTGACTCCAAAAGGAGTAACCAAGATTTCTTCTTTCAAAGTGTCTCCCAAAGATAGTCCTCTCTTTAAAGCAAAAATAATAAATGGCCAAGGTGACATACCTCTTAAAAGCGGTTCTTTATCTAAAAAGTGTGACATGTCCTCACCCACAAAAGCTGTGGGGTTTACAGATAGTTTGAAATTAACAAAAGGCTTGCGAGATGTAAAAAAGTCCCCTTTGGGACTGTTGAGTGACCAAAGAGTGCCCAAAAATAGTGTAGTTGCATCCAAATCAAAATCTAAAGAGGCTCTTGATAAGAAATTGAATACCTCAACTAATAATGTAAAAAGAAGGAATAGTGAGAGCTTGGGGACAAGCAGTAATAAGGCTTTAAGTACAAAGACAGGTGTAACTGAAGGTGCTTCTAAAACTCTTGCAGGAACAAAGAGCCAAACCTTGAAATCTCAGAAGATTACCAAATCATCTAAGAGTACTTCCCGTCGTTCACCCCCAAATGGGAAACTGAATAGGAAAAAAAGCCTTTTAGCATACTTAAAGGAAAAAAATAATGAAAGTGATACATCCAGTGTTGATTCAGAAGTGGTGAGTGGTGGACGAAAAAAATCCAAAAGCAAAGAGGAATCCCAAAAATCCAATAGTGCCTCTCCCTTCCCTACATTCCCCCCACTGCCAATAAATGCTGGTTCTCGTCGCAGGAGCGCTACAGCCCAGGGCAAGTGCAAGTCTGCCAAGAAGCCAAGATGGGTGCACAACTGGTCCTGGGAAGGTGAACCTTTCGAGGGGAAGATCTGGCTAAGAGTAAGTATTCATGCTTTACGTTCTTAATTTAGAGTGTTTGACAGTACTGTACATTATTTTGTTGCTGTTATGGCATGTATTTTGATATTCTGTAGTTATGCACTGATCACCATGTAGCTACAAATTTTTTTAATGTTGGTTTTTCAATATGGCGACTGGCCACATTGAGAAACTGACTTTTGGTTATATGAAGGGAATGGTCATACGGTAGTGGGAAACATATTGGAGCACTGCGGAGAGATGGCTGCATTCGGAAATGAACCTGTGCTTATTAAAAAGGAGTAGCCGGACTGGAAGGCAGGCCTTCACTGATGAGAGAGAGAAGCCATATTAGGAAATGGCTCGTCACTGACAAAGGGAATAACTATTTTGGGAAACAGTCCTTAGCTTACAGAGAGGTAGTGACTGGTGGGTATAACATCTCGGGAGAAGATGATACCGATGAGTAGAAAGATCATTGTTACCTTACATGAAAAAAGATCAAAATTTTTAAGGATGAGTAATAGTGAAGATGAAGTATAGCAACAGGAGTGTATCATTGGCATCATTATGTTAAAAAAAAAGTTCATAATGTAACTGACCTTATTATGCATAATGAATTAATATCTGTATGTACTGTAAAATGTTAAAAATTATGTGTAAAGATTAAGATTCACTATTATTTGTCTGCAAGTTTGGTGCCTGAGGAAATTTGTGTATTATTCTTGCTTTCAGCTTAGCACATACCCAAGAGTGATGGCAAGGGTTTAAACCATGACAATTGTCCAATTTAACAACAGGGACATTGGGAATTGTCTTATACTGCATGCCCTTCAAATTCGCGGGGTTAGGTTCTCAAAGTGGCCGCGAATAACATATGCTGACGGGGGGAGGGGCGTCCTTTTTTACTTGTGTACAAAGAAATGTATATTACCTTTATGTGTTTGCCCTTAGGACAATATTTTTTTTTACCTATTTTGTATATTTGTGTGAGTGTGTGTGTGTAGACACATACATGCAATTAAATAATAATGGGAAAATCCTCTCACAAATAATCATAAACAAATGTATTAAAAATGTTGAGTCTACTCTCAAGTCCACTCCGTGCTTTATTAATAACAAAGCTCATGGCTGAACTCCTTTCTAAAAAAGAAAAAAAAAGAATTGGGGGTCCAGACCCCCTCTATTCATCAGAAAATTCCATTCCAATTTTTGTTCTTTAATGCAGTATTGTTACTCAAGCATTTTTGTTTAGTAAAAAGTAATAACTATTGACCAAAGAATATCTCCTAATATCAAGTGCAAATGGCCTCAAAATGTCCATGATATTGGTCAGATTTAATTTTTTTTGGGGGGGGGAGGGGCCCCCAAAAAAAAGGCTCACTTTCTATTCTCCCACCCACAACTTATTTGAACCCCCCTCTCCTCCCCCCCCCCTTTTTTTTATACTGTATATACGTACAGTGGTCCCTCGGCTAACGAACACAATTCGTTCCACAGAGTTGTTCGTTGACCGAATCCATTATTTCAGTGGGATATTGGGTAATTGGTTCTAGCTCACAGAAAAGTACATACAAAGTATAAACAAAATGCAGTAAAGTACACTTACTTTGAGGTGTGTACAGTATGTAGAATGTTGCTGGTTGATGATGATGATGGGAATTAGAAGTGGGGGGGTGGAGGAGTAGAAGGGAGAAGAGAAGGAAGTGGGGATGGAGGAGAAATTGCCTTCCTTTGGACCCATGCTTGATGCAGTAATTTCACCAATAAAATTTTAAGTTCACTAGCTGTAATTACAGATTATTTTATTTAAATCAACACTGCACTATATATTATCAATATGTTAGCTAAATTTCAGAATGACCAATAATTTTAAAGTAAAAACGTAAAAGTACTCTGTATTCAAGAGAGCAACAAACATGATGTTTCCTTCACTGTAAACAAAGTTAAACTGACACTTTGGCGGGTGAGTCAAGCGGCTGATGGGAGCACAAAATGACAAGTTCCCAGTACTGCATATATTATCATTATGTTAACTGAATTTTAAAATAAATAATAATTTTAATATAAAAAATGCAAAAATATTAAAGAGCACAACTTCTTGATATTTACTCCACTGGAAACAAATGTAAACATAGAACCGATTACTGTATTGACGGACTAGGTGATCAGCTGATGCTCACAACAAAACGTGTTTGTCGTAAGGATTTTGTTAATCGAAGTTTTGATCGTTAGCCGAATTGAAGATCCTTATGGGAGCTAATTCATTAACCGAAATTTCGTTAATCGAACCTTTCGTTAACCGAGGGACCACTGTATATATATATATATATATATATATATATATATATATATATATATATATATATATATATATATATATATATATATATATATATATATATATATATATATATATATTTTTTTTTTTTTTCTGGATCGGCCCTTGCATGGTGGTTTCCTCTGGCAAATCATTCTTTCCTTTGCCCGGTCACAGACAATGGGAACTAACACTCTTCGTTTATATCACACAGTTCTCTGTCTGACTCCATTGCCATCTTTGTAATTCCAAGTTTCTGTTTTTTTGTCCAGCTTTGTTAATGGATCATCCCATAAGATGAATGGGCAGAGGGTTAATCCTGTATAATGTATATCATCAGTCTTAATTCTAATCTCCCTCCAATTGTAGGGCCGATATACAATATAAATATGATAGTTCACTAATTGGCACTTAAGCATTGCATTTAGGAGACTAATAGAGGGTAGAACACCGTCAGTATTGTTTCATATATATATATGTGGAGAAGAACTTTGTCTCCTGATGTTTTACAGTGGAGAGCCCGGTAAGAAGTGTAAGGTTTGTAAATATTATACAGTACATGAAAACAAGTGATGAATATATGTAAGTTTATTATAGTAAAATAATATACAGTAAATTAAATGAAGCAAATACTCATATAAGTGTATACAAAGCCACCAGTCCCTTCCCATTCCCAACTTGTTCTCCAGTTTTTACTGGAGACCTCGCCCTGCTGTGCAAATTGTTCCACTCTTGCAGTACCACCCAAGTCAGCCAGTCAGTCACTTTGCATCAAGTAAAGATTGCCCTGTGAAGACTCCACAACGTAAAAAGTAATTGGAAACACTGACTTTAGTTTTTCAAAAATCGTGTAGCCCCCCCTCCCCCCCTCCTGAACCTATGAAGAGTAGGTTTGCTTAATATCCATTCAATTAGAAACAAAATGTGTTACCTTAATGAGTTTCTAAAGATGTACATCTTGGATATCCTCATGGTTGTATGAATCACACATTAACATTACAGTGATCCTTCGGTTAACGAGCGCCTCGGTTAACGAATTACCTTCCCTAAGATTCTTCACTTTGGTTAACGAGCAATCCCTCGATTAACGAATTCCTTACAAGCGCCCCTCAACATGTTTTCGCCTGCTAACTAGCTATAGTATTAGTCCGCCAATACAGTAATCAGTTCTAGGACTTAAATTCCCAACCATTTTAGTAAATATCAAGAAGGTTGTACTATTCAATCATTTTAAAAGTTTTATATTAAATTTTTTAGTCATTTTAACAATTATTGAACATAATTGAAGTACAGGAAATTAGTTTTATGCTCGCCAAACAGCACTCAACACACCAAGCTTGGCATCAGTTTGTTTACAGGTTCAGAGGAAGGAACATCTTGTTTGAGACTCTTCAACATAAATGCTTTTTTTCTGTTTCCAGTCAAGTTATTGGTCATTTTGAAATATATTTTACATATTGATAATATATAGCGCAGTGCAGTGTTGATTTAAAGAAAATAATCTTGAATTACACCAAGTGAACTAAAATTTTAAGGGTGAAATGGCGGCATGGGGTGACTTCTCTTCCACCCCAATGCCTTCTCTTCTCCCGTCTCCTCCACCCCCATTCTAATTCCCATCATCATCATCAACAACCAGGAGCCTTCTACATGCACACTTCAAAGTAAGTGTACTTTACTGCATTTATTTTTCGTTTGTATGTAATTTTCAGTGAGCTGGAACCAATTACCCAAAATCCCATTGAAACATTGGTTTCGGTTAACGAGCAACCTTCTGGGACGAATTGTGCTCGTTAACTGAGGGACCACTGTATTCATATCAGCATAACATTATTCATAGTGCTCTTCCCAAGACACGTTCTCTTATTCAGGTTCCCAAGTGTTTTTACTGTACTTTTTTAAAAAACTATTGCAAATAATCTATACTGTATTATAATTCAATACTATGCCTTTGTTTTTTGTCAAATGGGTTTCAAACACAGTCCTTGTAATAATGTAATAATGATATGTATAGCTACAATATGATTTTTACTTCACGGTTCTCGGTTATTCGTGGATGACACCCTGGATGTACAGAAGAATATCTGGGTAGTTTTAAAGTTGCCAGCATTTTTGCGACTGGGACAGGGAGCCATTCGTTCTAGAGAGAGTAATTTCCTTTACCTGTAGTATCGTAAATATGTGTGTGTGTGTGTGTGTGTGTGTGTGTGTGTAGACACACACACACTGTAATAGAGAACGGACCTGAAGGTAGACTCACATTTTTAATAAAATTGTTTCTGATTATTTGTGAGAGGATTTTCCAATTTTTTTTTATTTGTATACCCCGCTTTACGTGGTCAATTGAACCCGCGGAGGCCCACATAAAATGGGAAACGCGGAAATGGAACAACAGAACATATGGGATTAATTGAAATAGAGACTGGGCCGACCCCCAAACTCCACTTTTTCCCGACACAATACGTACGTTTTAGTAAAAATAACATCTTAACTTTATGATGGTATGCACACACATAATATAGAAGAGAAATATCAATAAGAGAATAATATACTGTACCACGTAAAAGAAAAATCAAGGTTTAACACTTATGTCAGGTTAGGTTAGAAAAAAATCAAGGTTTAACACTTTCGTAAGGTTAGGTTAGGTTTTAAAAAAATGAAGGTTTACCACTTACGTAAGGTTAGGTTATGTTAGGAAAAATCAAGGTAAGGTTTAACACTTACGTTAGTAGAAGAGATGGGCCGGCGTACGGGAATGGCGGCTGGTTCCGAGGCAGAGGGCAGACTACTGGCCCTCAGGTGAGTCACCATCACTGTCATCCACATTTGTCAGGGCCTCCCTGACAAAACCCTCAAAGTCACCATCACTGTCTCTCTCTCTGTCACTATCACTGGCTTGGGCTGGCTGTGGTGGGTTGTGGGCGAAGAACTCGGTAATGCTTTGTTGACGGCTAGTGTTGATGTTGTCGTGATACACCCTGATATACGGCTCCATAGTCTGCAACAGCTGGGTAGTGAAGACTTCATACCGGTTATCGTTAGGGTCGTCGGAAAGGAGGAGCTTCAGTTTCTCTGCACACTCGATGGCACTCCTTACACTACCATGCGTTAACTTGTGTTCTTCTTGGGATGACACACCACCTGCCTCTTCACTGACGTGATTGTATTTTAACATCTCGTCGGCAGTCACATCAGGATCCCTTATCACCTCCATAATGTCGTCATTGGTGGTCTCAGAGAAGCCTGCAGCTGAAACACTCTGCGCAGCTTCTCTGGCAAGGTCCACTGCTACTGCAACAGTCTGAACCTCACCAGTCACAGGTTGACTCTGCCTCCCACCTGGGATACCTTGCAACACATGTCTCCATGCGTGACGAACCGTTGCTACAGACAGCTGATCCCATGCCTCCACCAAGAAGTCCACAGCTTTCTTGACGTTAAATTTCCTCCAAAAGTGTTTGACGAGAACTTCTTGCTCTGCCAACTGTTGTTCCTCGTCCTCGTCGCCCTTGCTATCGGTGTCACCCAGATTACGCAAGTCATCCTTGATGTTGGTACAGTCATTCAGGAGCTTAAACTTCTTTGCAGAGAATGCAGCCTTAACGTTGCATATCAACTCCCGGTCCATGGGCTGGAATAATGACGTAGTGATGGGAGATAGGAAGACCACTTTTACGTTGGGGTGACGATCCAACAGTAGGGGCGAGTGTCCTGGTGCCTTGTCAAGGAGCAACAAAATCTTGACTGGAACATTCTGTTCCTCATGGAATTTCTTCACGTCGGGAACGAAACAGTCATCAAACCAGGAGAGGGACAGAGCAGAGAACATCCACGCCTTACATGCTGTCAGCCAGTGGACATTGAGCTTGGTCATGTCCATGTTCTTGTAGGCGTGTGGCTTGCGGGCTGTGTGGATCACCGATAACTTGAGTTTACAGGAACCGGAGGCATTGGTGGTAAAGAGGACGGTGATGCGCTCCTTCTGCAACTTCCGGCCCTGACACTTGCTGGCAGACTGGACAACGAAGGTCTTGGAAGGTAGCTTTTTCCAAAACAGACCGGATTCGTCCATGTTGAACACCTGGTCGTCAGTGTACTGTCCTTCCTCCATAATCTCACGTAAGAACGGAGGAAAATCCCTAGCCGCAACACGGTCAGCACTCGCTTCTTCACCACCAATGTTAATGTTGGTGATCTTGTTCCTCTTCTTAAACCTGTGCAGCCACCCAGAGGAAGCATTGAAGGGTTTGGGCTCTGCAATTCCCATCTTACGTGACACTGCTGTGTACAGTTCACGTGCGTACTCCTGAACTGACCGCATGTCGACCGTCATGTTCCGTCTTGCCTGACGAATCAAGTAGCTCACAAGTAAATTCTCCGTCTTGAGAAGCACCTTGTTCTGGCAATACTTGATCATTGAAGCCCCTGCAGACTTTGTGATGTTCATGTGTTCTTTATCGTCCGGATCATAGATTCGTTCACGCCATGCTGGCGCGCCAAATCAACTTGTCTTGTTCCTTTCTCCAACTCTTGGATAATCTTGTACTTCACATCGTAGCTTAGGGCACATCGTATCTTCTTTGGCTTAGGGCGGCTGGGTCCAAGTAATGCAAGGTTTTTCTGTGGTGGTGGTGGTCCGGTGACAGCCATTCTTATGGAACAATAGATACCGGTATACACGGTGTGGCCGGGAGGGGTGTAACTGACGCGGCTAGGTCAAGCGGCTTCATCCCTCCCGCGGCAGGGCACGTCATATTACATTAAACCAATCACAGCTAGCGGCGGAGGGAGGTAAGGATGCGTGGCCCAATCACAGTCCGATACGTCACATGACGTCAGCGATAACGCAACAGAGGCATCCACTACGCAACCTACTCGCGCAGCATGCCCAACATGGTGGGATGGCGGGAGGTTTGAATCCAAAAATGGCGGCGTGGCAGGACCGCCAGCCGCTCGCCGCGTATATGAGTAGATGCACTGCGTTAAGTGGGAATTGCAGTTCTGGCGGGGTATCGCGTAAATGTGGAAACGCGTAAACGAGAACCGCATAAAGCGGGGCATTGCTGTATGCGTTTTGAGTGTACTGTATGTGTGTGTGTGTGTGTCTACACACACACACATATACAATACTACAGGTAAAAGAAATAATTGTCCTATGGGCATACACAGAAAGGGAATACCTGGATACATTTCTTTGTACACAAGTAAAAATATACCCCCCCCCTGCCAATCAATAAAAAAATAAGTTGCACCCCTTAGGTGGTTGGTCCACAGTTATCAGATATAATGGCTCAAACACTGGGCAATAATAGAAAAACAAATGGGGGGGAAAAGCTTGCTTGGTAGACTGTAGGTATATACTCCACAACTGACTAATGTGAACTGATCGTGACTGGAGGTTTCTTCGAATTTTCGGGAAATTACGCATTCTTTCATCCTCGGAATTTGCTCTCAAACCCGGAAAAGAAATTGGAGAGAGTTCCAGAATTTTTCTTGGAATTTTCAGAAAATGCGCCTGATTTTCAACCTCGGAAGATCATTCCCAAACCAAGAATTGAGAAAACTCTTAGCATATTTCAATTCTGGCTATTGGAGAGTTCAGGCTAAGAGGGATTTCAACTAATGGAGATATTACTGTACTCTACAGTATATAATTATGGTATGGTATGTAATATCTTGTACAGTACTGTACTCACAAGTGCACACACAAAAAGTAAAGATTAAAGTAACTTTTGTTAATACTGTATAGAATCAAATATACATAAACCTGTATTTACCTTCAGAACAGCAAACATCATGCAGTAAGGAAGTACGTACTGTACCTACTGTATTGTGTCACTGTACTGTACAGAGACAGTACAGTGACCAATAATTTGTCAAGAGCTGCCTCAGCCCAAGCTAGCCAAAATACAGTATTCTCTGGGTGAGTGTGTGCATAATTAAATAAGTCAGTACTGTACTGTGCTGGGATTTTTAGAATTGACTAAAACAGCTAACAATATCTACATTGAGTGGATTAGCTGTTGGTAAACTGTCCATACTGTCATGTAAATTCCTGTAGGAAATGTAATCTTTGTGCTGAAGCTTTTTGATTGCCAATGAAAAATTTCTATCTTTCAGAATGATGAACTTGAACTTGTCAGAACTTGTTATACAGCGATGCGCCATAAGGAAGGTGATGTTGTCCGCGTCCGAGACTGTGTTCTGTTGAGATCTGGACCACGAAAAACAGACCTTCCCTTTGTTGCCAAGATAGCTGCATTATGGGAAGACCCCGAAACTTGTAAGTTATTTTTATCAGTTTTAAGCCTTGTAAGAAAGGTTGAACACTGTAGTGTGGAGAGACAGGATAGGGTAAGGATATTACAATAATGGGAAAGAATTGTGTAGTGATGAGGTGGCTTAGAGGCTCTTCTTTTGCAGCTTCTGACTCAGAGTGAAGTTCTCCTGTGGAGTGAAACATCAGTGATAAGAAAAAGATAAATGCTGAAGTGTCCATATACTGTTGCTGGCATATGTCTTTTGTAGAGTGCTGCCAGTTTCATTGTTTCCCAGTACAGGTATCCCTCATTTAATGATGGGAATACAGACATGAAAAGCTTAACATTAAGCGAAATTATCGCTAAACAAGGGATGACATCAGTGGAGATGGCATGTTACCTTTGTTACATCTAATGAAACTATAAAAGTTGTGGAATAACCATTACAACACTCTAATGTGGCTTAAAAATAAAGAAAATACATGTATACTGTCATGTAAAATAAGAAAAATGAAGAGCATGGGTGTGTACAGTATGTGTGTAAGGTGAACAAATATGTAAACATGACATGTTGCTAAGTTACTGTACAGTATTGTATTTTTCAACTCAATTTTAGGTATATATACTTTTTTCTTTTTTTTATTTATTTATTGTTTTTACTCCGTTACATGAGCACACAAATCATTCATACAGAATGTGCAAAAAAATCATTATTAGGTCAAAAACATAAATGAAAGGAAAAATTTTTACATGCGCACGAGTTAGCACACAGAGCAGGGAAGGTGGGGGGGGCCTGGGGATCTCAGCTTGCTGTCTCATGTCCTGTATGTAATGAAGCAATTGCCAAATAGTAATGCATTAGTTTTTATTTTATTTATTACTATTTATAGTTATTCCTCACATTTACTGGTACAGTATACATACAACCCAGCTCAGCTTACTCAAGAGACGTGTATGCTGTGACGTCACATAGGGGGAAGGAAGAGTGCATTTGGCTGCAGTTACAGCTCACTCCCTCCATTCAGTACATATGTTCACTTCCCACACATACATACCCATGCTCATCATTATTCTTATTTTATAATTTAAATTATATATTCTTTATTTCTAAGCCACATTACAGTACAATATTGTAATGCACATTTGGAGTACAGAATCCCCAGTTTTTCCAACTCCCCTCCCGAGTTTTTCCCAGTGAGTTGAACATCACTAAACCGAAATATCACTAAGGGCATGAGTGTTAAATGAGGGATACCTGTAATGATTATTTGGGCTATGATATAATTTTATTCACTTAATAATTGATGGAAAGTAAAGAATAATCTCTTTTCATTATGAGGTGAAAATGTCTGACTGTAATTGAAAAATTGCATTTATTTTTATCGTTTAATTATGCCTGAGGAGCTGCAAATATAATAGAAGACAAGTGCCCAAGCACAACTTAGGATGACAAGGCGATTTCATTCAGCAGTAAAAACCAAAGTACCCAACTAATTAACCCAAAGCAGCGTCGTTACTCAGACGGAATCCAATATTTGCAAACACAACCATTCAAAACAGCCAGCATATTACACCAACACACATTGGCTTATTTAAGCTCAAAACTAGTACAAATAAAGTAATCGTATTTATGATATACTTTCAGTAAGTTAAGTTGTTTTTTATTTAAAGTTATTAGATGTACTGTAGGTGAGGATCTAGGTTCTAGAAACATTCAGAGCCACAAAGATTTTTTAAGGTTCCCGAATCCTGAATCTCTCCATACTGTACATATGTATAAGGCATGGATGGCCGTGTGCAGCGTGTGATAAAGTGAATGATGTGTGCAGTATACCTCTGGCAGTGAAGTTAATGTGTTCGTGAAATTCACTTCGTTGTTGGGAACTTTGTTGTCATAGGTAGCTTTAACAATGAGTAAAAGGTAATAGGTTCCAATCTCTTGTTATTCTGTATTTTACATACACCTAAAATGCTATAATAAACAATGAAAATAATACACAGCACATCATCAAATACAATACCACATATTTAACACTACAGGGTATACAGTATACAAAAAATAGCTCATTCCGCCCTCGAACCATCCTGTGGGTCATGCCGAGAGTGAAAAGTTCAGCCAGCCAGCTAATTTGAGAGGCACATGGCTGCAACGCCGTGTGTGCCATGACGTCACATTTGGAACAATGTGAATCATCCATAAGTAAGTTCACCTCCCACAGAGAACACTGTTTATAGTCGTGCTCTTCTCTTTTTTCTTTTTTATCATATTTCCTTTATTTTTAAGTCACATTAGTGTACTGAAATGATTTTACAACAACTTTTACAGTTTCATTACATGAATCAGTGGTAACAACATGCATAGCCATCTCAAGGCCACAGCTGCCTGGCGAGTTAGCAACATGTATTATGAAGTGAAGATTACGCGGGTGTGTAAGGGACACAATTTCACTTTCAATGGAGATGAAGCGGATCACACTTACGATATCACTCACTTTGCAGTATTCAGTTCCAAATTTCTGCTTTATATCAGCAACATAGCATTTATTGTCAACCATGACTAACACTATAAGATTATCCTTCATGGTAAGGCACTTTCTGCTCTGTTATTTATATGTTACAAGAGAACAGGCACATCTGCACTGAGTAATAACCGCACACTAACTGAGTACTGCACGGCTGTGTTGTTTTGATGTGGTGAGGCCCACACGGTCTACACTACATCGCTCCACAAAAATAAGAATGATCCGCAAGATATTTTTCACATTTTTAAATACAGCTCCTCCCCGACTTACGACGGGGTTAGGGACCCAAATCCAGGTCGTAAGTCGAAAATGTTTAAATAATACATAGAAAATCTAAAATGGGTGTCTCTTTTTCTTCTCAGCACCACAAAACTCTCACTTTTAAGCTTGCCAGCCATTTTAAAGTGAATTACAAACAAAAATTTTGTCAATACACAGCGCATTATCACTGACATTGGGACTCGAAAATACGTAATTTGACAAAATTTTGGTACGACTGAGGTGGTCGTATGTCCGGGTGGTCGTAAGTCGAGTAGGTCATAAGTCGGGGAGGGGAGTAGCTGCACAGTAATTTTTTTCCAAGATCCGTGTTGTTATTCGGATGTGTCATTATTCAGGTTGTCCAGTACTCAGGGTACAGGTACTCTTTAATGTAGAGAGCATGGGTACTGTACAGGGAATCAGAGGAGACACAAACTGTCAACATGGAATGCATCATCAGTTCCTCACCTGCAGGACATGAAGTGGATATGGACAATGGAGATGGATTGCAATAACTGTATTTACAAACACTTACTGAATCTATACTAAATTGACTTAAACTGGTGTTGAAATCGAATGGAAATATGACAAAATGAAAATATTAAATAATATGAAGGTTTGGAAGTGTTTTAGTGTGTTTAATGTATCCTTAACATGAATTGTTGTTAAAAGTCTTGTAAAAAGGATACACAGGGATCAGAAATGACACTCATGAGATAAAGAGGATGCAGAGAATAAGAAATATAGAATTTAGATGGAGATGTAGGTTAGAAATGTCAGACAGCTGATCTGGAATTGCTGTGGTACTATGAATACAGATAATAGGAAGTGAAAATTTTTTCGAGAGAATGCATAGTACTTACGTAGTTAGATGGTAGGACAGAAATAGGATAACTAAGAAGGAAATGAAAGGATGGACATGAAAGAAGTACTAAAATCCACATGAATAATAGGAGAGCCTAGTAGCAAGTGGTTTTAGAATTATAACAGCATTTAAAGTGAATGAATAAGAGCAGATTAAAAATCTGTGTATGATCTTGATTCAGCGATATTTTTCCTGTTAAATGTTGTCTTTCTTAATGGTCAATAGAAAATTCAGGAAAATGAGTTGATGGAAAATTAATATATTAAATACTGACTCAGGTCATTCTCTTTTTTCCAGCTGACATGATGATGTCTATTTTGTGGTATTATCGTCCGGAACACACTGACTCAGGGAGACGTCCGGACGACCTTCCTGATGAGATCTTTGCCTCCAAACATCGAGATCATCTTAGTGTAGCGTGCATTGAAGATCGTTGCTATGTCCTTACATTTAATGAATACTGCCGGTTAGTACTTTTTTTTTTATGAGTAAGGTAAATTTGATTCAAATGCAGTACATGGACTGTATTATTATGTGTGTAAGGATATGTTTAGGTATGCAAAACAAATACTGCACAGCTTAAATTAGATAAAAAGATACAGATATTTTGTTGTAAGTACAGTAAGATCTTGTTTTTTGCGGGTCATACAGACTGGAGAAATTGCGCCAAATTCAAATTCGCCAAATGCAAATACATAAACTAATGGGAAAAATAACAATATAGACTGTCCACTCTACATCTACCTCTGATTTTCCCATTTATGACCTCCAAATGATACAAATTCTGCCTTTATTGGCTTGATTGTGCTTTCCGGAAACTAGTTTTTAGGCCTTCCTCGAGTAATTTAATCACACGCTGCTTATCCTGCATCGAGTACAGTACTTGGCAAACTTAACTCCCTTATGATAGTCCCACTTCTCCTTTTCCTTATTTGGCCGCTTAGGTGGGTCTGTCCCACCCCCACCAGTAGGACCCCTAGTAGAGGTAGAGGCTATTATCTTGACTCGACAGGTGGTAGCACCACCCACAAAAGCACACAATATCAGCCCGGGCAGTCGTTAGGATGGTGCGGGTTACAACGCGATAGTTGCATTCTTGTAAACCTCTTTTACGTTCACCACCGGCAATTCGATCACCAGAACGCTTCTTGGGAACATTCTTCTGACTTTGTCTTTCCATATTCATCACTAACACAACAAAATTGGAGAAAATAGCAAAAATCACGGAGTAATTGACAGAAACCGCGCGATTCAACTAATCTCGTGATGTAAACAGAATTGAATAAATTGAAACAGTTTATTTAGCCAGAAAAACACAGATGCAGAGTGGATAATAATAACAATATTAACATGGCTGAGCCAGTTGAGAACCTGAGCGCTGGTGTAAACCGTTATTAGTCCTCAGTGCGAAACACTCTTTTTACTTATTCTTTTCATCTAGTATTTATGGGTAACAGCTAAATTTGCAAAAATAAATAAATAAATAAAAATACAGAGTACCTCTCAAAAAACACTTTGCAAACAAAGGACACGAATCAATTGAACATGTGATGTCGAACGTGATCTGTAAACATTGCATAACCCCGCTCCACGCTTAAAACGTTGAGGATGGAATCGTGCTATAACCAACATTCTTTTCAAAAGTTCGCATTTTACAAACAGCGTTCCCCTATTCATCAATCGCGTTGCAACCAATTCACGTTGACAAAACACGAGTTGTAGCAGAAATGACTGTAACTGGTGTGAGGACTGTGATGTCATTCAAGACGGTGGCCAGCATTCAGCTTGTTGGATCACGCATTCAGCTGGCTGAATCTAGCGAAATTCACGATATTTTACGCCAAACACAAGAAATCCCACGACATATGAAATCTTACTGTACACTAGGATAGGTATTCAAAGCCATCCATTTTTTTTCCATAAATTTTTCTGTGATTGTTTTAATTTTAATTAAGGATCAAGTTTTGTCCTTATTTCTGCAATTTCATTCCAATAGTATTGATCTGCATTTGGTAAACAGGAAACTGCATAAATTCATGCATACAACACCAAAATTTTAAGTCACTCAGACCTTTCTTCTCATTACCTTATGCCTCTACCCATCTCCATGTAAAATAGATAAGTAATGTTTTATCTAAATTTCGATCTCTTAGACATTTCAAATGGAAAAGGATTATAAATTTCAAATGTCTTCAGAACTCAGTCAGCAATCCTCTCATGTAAGCAAGACAATTATCCACCTTGTAGTAACTCTACACAGATCAATATTGTTGATTGATAAAAACCTTTTACTTTTCCTTGCATCAACTCATTGCTGAATTTTCTAATACGGTAATACCTACTCATTCATTAGTGTAGGACCAAGCATAACCCACAATCTCTTTTAAGAATCAACACGCATATGGTTTCACCAAACTTGACTCTTTAAAAACTACGCACTCTACACAGTCCCACCTTTCTTCCTCTGAATTACAGTATTGTCGTAAAATAATATTTGTCTTCACACAGGATATTGAACCCTGGTAGAAGAGGTGAACGGTAGACCAGTCTTTCTACAATGTCCATTCTAAACTATTATCTCTCACTCTTGTGTTGTATCTCCTTCCAGTAGAAGTGAAAGATTAAACACCACTGGTGACATTACCTATACAGTACTGTACACGACTGCTGTGCACTTAATTATTTTTAACCTTTTTTCCTGTTCTCATAGATATAGACGGTTTCTCCGCCTCTTTCAAGAAGGTGTGTATCCAATAGCAACGCCAGTTCCAGATCCAGAAGAAGGCTATTGCCGTAAAGATCGCCAACCTCCAGGTTGTGTGGTGCCAGAACTTCTCTTTTTTTGCAGAAGAGTGTATGATTACCGCATTAAGAGGCTACTGAAGAACCCTTGCTGAGGGTGTGTTAGGGGGGAGGGGACAGAGTGTGCACAGGAGGACAAGCAATACACATGGAGTGCAGCCAGTGAGGAAATTTTTAATGAGGAAATTTTTAATAATGCTGACAGTGAAGATGACACATCAAGAGTTTTTGAACTAAAGGCACTCTTTTTCTTGTGGCCAATAAACTGAAGATTTTCTGGATGTTGCCAGGCATTCCAGACAAATTTATTTATCTTAAGATTGAATTAATAAAGAATTTTTAAGTACTGCGGATATATACATACATATATATACATATATATATATAAATATTTATATATTAGTATTTATAAACTAAATATATTATCAGAGTGAATAGTGGAACAGAAAATCAAATGAGTGAAGAAGAGTGAAAACTAAGCTATGTCATCCTTAAGGTTACTGCCAGTGGTTCTCTTAGTTATATAATTAGTGTCACAATAAGTATTTTGTCATATAATAAGCCAATAGGTCTGTACAAAACACAAATTTTTATATGTATGCATTGCTTGTGGTAAGCATCCATTTAATATCACCAGTATGACATATTAGGTAATAATTATTTATGAAGAAAATTTATTCTTAAGGATGAATTCATTGTTGCCAGTTTTAAACTATTTCCTTGCTTAACTGATGGATGAATTGAGCAAGTTCCTTTATTTAATAATTAATGTTATTTTCTCAACCAAAGCTTCAAATAATCTTTGATCTATTCATATTCCTTTGATTCTTGTCTAGCCAAATATTACCTGTATTCAAGGATAACTAGATTTATACTTTGCTCTTTCTAATGCTTTCTCAGCATGTAGTTAGATGACCTGAAAGTTGTAAGTGATCCATAAGAATACAGTCAGAGGAGTTAAGTGTAAGTTTATTGGTCTCAGAATACAGGTATCGTACTTGAAAGTCAAACAAAGTGAGTCGAAACTAGTGACTAGTAGAGAATGGGTGTGGGTCTAGATGATAGTGAGGTTGCAGTTCTTGAGCACAGCAAGTTAATAGGGAGCGGCTGCCCTTATTTTAAAAATTATATAGAACCATATTGACACATATCTCTCAGAGTATATGGCACAGAGTATGCAGTAGTGTGTACAGGCTGGTAAATAGTTATGAAGTCAGCTGTGGAGAATGAGGGAGTTACAAGTATATTACAGTACAGAAGTGTGTGAGGACAAATAGTTATAAAATGTTTCAGTCCACATAACCTGACATGTTGCTGCATATTCTTGATTATTTGCACTTTTAATCAGCTGAATAAAGATTAGGTTAACTGAAGAAATACTTTTGATGTAAGATAGAGGAGTAAAGTGTTAACAGTGTCTGTGACTTGTCTTTAATTTCTTTGTTTACATAAATGAGATTGTGTTATATATTTCCTGTTCACATTACTTGTTATTTGTATTTTTTATTTGACAATCACAAAATATATTGACTTTCTTATTTTTTTAACATCGATCAGATATTTTATGTGTTTTAAAAGTTTACTACTCTGATAAGATAATTGCACATGCTCATGCAGTAACTATGATTTTGAAGGATAATTTATCGTATATCCTAAGGATTAAAATGCATTTAATAAAACATTATGCAATGTATGGACTTTTGAAGCAAACATAGGCATTCAAGTAATAATTGGACATAATTAGGTAAATGTAAAATAAGTTGAAGATTCTTCCTTTGGCATTTTGTTCAGGCATGTTGATAATTGTGCATTATATTTTGATCGTTTTTAATATAGATACAGTATAAAGATATATTTTCATACCTAGTCGTTCCTCTCATTCTTCATTCCAAGGTCGAAGCATATGGTCTATTTGAATTATTTATGATGATTTGTTTTCTATTGCCTAAAGTTCAGTGACAGGATTAATTAGCCAAAACCATTTGTACTATTTATGTAATATTTTTATCATCCTTTTGGGTGGTACAGCATAATTTTTCCTAAATATTTCCATTACAGTCTGTTTGCCCTTGCTTTTGGGCATCCTACATTGTAGCAGGAAAAGGCTTGAAAGAGATTGAATCTGCTGTCTTAACAATACCACATTTTTAAAATGTAGTCTTTACCTGGAACATTTCTTGAAGAATGCTGTATGTTCGGTTTCTTGTCAGACGATGAAGAAGCCTCTAAACTTCTTAAGGAGTGTGTAGGAGAAGGTTACATAAGTAAAGATACATCATAGAAGAAGTGGGAAGAAAGATCAAGAGATGTATGAGAGAACAAACAAGAAAACAGGAGAAAGTGCATCTAAGTATAGTCAAAAATAGATCAAGAATTGTCATAAGCTGCATCAGCCCAGGCTGGTCAAAACATTTGCTCAGGCTGGTCAAACATTTGCTCAGTCAGTTGTGAGTCACCCAGAATTGGAAGTCATATAGGTGAGTGAAAGAATATAAAATATTAAAATTGGTGTGCAAAGAAAATTGTGGAGTTTGTTGTTGGATTTAATACAGTATGTCAAAAATATATAAATCGTCATCGGTAGGAGAAAAAACGACAAAAATTTCATTTTCTATAAAGCTAAAGGAGTGCTTCCATGGATGACTTGGCTAAATGGAATAACCTTGAAATTCAGAATACAACCTTTAAATTTTATACAAACTAGGAATAGTTTGATGGCTATATATTCAGTTTTGTTCTCAAAGATTACACATTTAAATTTACTAATGCAGTTATGTCAAACATTTAATTAGGATTTTTTATTTTATTTATTTAAATTTTTATTAATGTGGCAGATTAGTAGCTTTTAACTATCTTTTAAATTTCAAGATAAGGCAAGAAAAGTCTTTGAGATTCCTGTTTAATTTCCTAATTGTTGTAGGTGAAGTTGATATTGCCTAAATGGAACAAATCTATCAATTTTTTGGTGGTAGATGGTATTCTCTCTCTGCACAGTTCAAGTGAAGAAAACAATACTGTTTTTCCAGTTGCATGTGTGCCTATTACAAAACATGCTTAGAAGATGTAAGTTAAAGGAAAGATTGTCAAATATTTATTTTAGTAAAGCTGCAGATCCCAATAATGCAAGACTTTTGTAGCTGTGATTCATCAAGTGTTTTGCAACACATTCTTTAAACCTCAGATTCCATATTTGGGTTGATAAAGCACCAATGTCATTGATTACCATGCACTGCTTTTTTTGCACACTTTTTGGTATTTTGAATAAACTTGCAAATTTTTTGGGGAGAGCAAGTAAACGTTGTATCTCGTCGGATTACTCGTGATCATTTTTATATTATTCAGACGAAACACATTTAAGTACTGTTCGTTTCTTCCACTGAGAGAGACCTGACGAGTATGTATAATGAGGTTCATGTTAAAATTATAGCTTTGCACAGCCTAGATCTAGATTTTTATAGTTTCCTATATAATGGACAAATGTCTTTTGGATTTGTGGAATTGCGTGATCATTATGTTACCTTTAAATGCCTTTGTTCTCTTTGGCACACAGTTTTCTTTTTGCAATTTTATTTATATATATATATATATATATATATATATATATATATATATATATATATATATATATATATATATATATATATATATATATATATATATATATATATATATATATATATATATATATATATATATATATATATATATATATGTGTGTGTGTGTGTGTGTGTGTGCGTGTGTGTAAGATACAAGTGTGCAAAATAGGAAGTGATTAGGAGAGTGTTTTGATTGAATCTGTTATTATCTGTCCCAGTAGTGTCTAGTTAGTGTCTAGATATGAGACTCTTGTTCATAGTCTTTATCTAGAGCAGAGCTTTTCTAGTGAGCCAACATTGGCAAGTCTTGACTGTTAGTTTGTGTTGTGCTAGTGAGTAGATGATAGATAGTCTTTGGGTAATTTGTTATGGCAAGGAGTCTATATTATTACAGCAATTGAGTATGATAATTAAGATATGTAAATAAAAATAGATTTATGTTTAAATGAAATAAAATTACAAACTTGTCGACTTTAATTTTCATGTCAGTTCCTTGGTCCAGTACTGTACTTGCTTCTCTGACAGTAAAAGAGAAATATGCATAGACTTCAAAGTCTTGTCTAAAACCCTCTACCAAATCCCAAACCCCTTATGTGTAGAAAATAGTAGATACATTTCAAAATAATAAAACATTATTTTTTTATATACAGGTAAACTTTGATTTACGATCTCTCTAGTATTTACAATATTTCGCTTTAACAATGGTGATATTTTAAAACCACCTTCCTATTTACAATAAAAAAATAATCGCATTAACTCGCTTCTCACTGCATTTGCCAGCCACGGGGTCATCTACCCGTGTACCACCATGCAGCCACCTAGTGCACTACAGTCCTGCACTGTGTTCCATAGTGATGCATCTGCCTGTAATCGTGTTACTCAACGATTATCTGTTGGTATTGTAGTTGTTACTTATCATTGGTGGCTTTTTTTCCCCTTATCACTAATATTCAGATTGTATACTCTGTTTTGGTGACTGTGAAGTGATTTTACAGTGTTTTTTTGTGGCTGTAAAGTGCTTTGGCTCTGTATTTGTGAACATGAGGTAAGTAGTGTTGGCCACTATCATTGTCGTTGCATTGTTATCAGCGTTTTTCTTCTTACAGTGAGAGGACATACTAACATTCAAATTGCACGTTGTGATTGTGGAGTGCTTTTGCTCTTTTTTTGACTGAAGTGAGCAGTGTAATTTTGAAAATGTCTAGCAAGCATGTTGCTGAGGCTCCTGTGTCTGGAAAGTCCAAGGTGCCCAGGAAAACAGTGTCTCTGGAGGTGAAGCAACCAGGCTTGTTCTTAATGATGTGGTGAGTGCATGTATCAAACAGGCTGGGAACATATTCCATTGAATCCCATGTTATAATGAACTCAATTTGTGATGGGGTTTTTGGGTATGTAACCCCCATTGTAAATAGAGGTTTACCTGTACTCTTATTTTATAATGCTGTACTGTGTACTGCTTACATTTCATTAGGACTATTCTTATACACAGTTTTTTTCTATAAATATCTAATTTAGTGCTGGTCGGGAATTCTGAATGTGGTTGGGCTCTTATGAATTCTTGATATATACTGTATAAGGGAATTTGACTAGTATAATATTTAGTTATTCACCTAGTGTGGGATGTCGAGCTGTACGGCATCTTGCATCGCCGCTCACAGCTGAAGCTGTCATAGGCAGTTGAGACTTGACTGACATTACACTCACATGTTCTCTGGCTCCATTAAACCACAGAAAACCCTGGCATGTTTTCTTCAAGACCCAACATGGTGCAATGACAGTCAAGAACTTTGTGGGAGCCAAGCTAAGCCTACATGACTCTGTAGAGGCTCACCAGGAAGACCGCCAGCAAGTCCCTAGTCAGTTTGCTGGCAAGCCTTGTCTGACGCCACTCACGCTAAGAAATGACTCCCCCCAGCTGACCCTCCAAGCTCAACAGATGGCCATCGCAGCCCCGCAGTCCCAGATAGCCACACTGTCCTTCAGCACAAGTGGACGGTCGGATGGGGTAACAGTCCAACACATCCGTCTACACTGCACTTCAAAGTTACAGTGTGCCCTGGATTCCAGGTACACCATTGGTCAGTTGCAAAACCTCAAGGCAAGTGAGGCTCTGGATGCAGTGGGCAGCCTGGCCCTTCGGTAGACTAACCAGGCAGTTACATGGAGTGTTTTTTAGGGATGAGGAGACCCCAGGTGAGACAATGAGTTACTTCCAGAGATGCACACAGCTGGCGATGAATTGTGGATTTGAGTGCCCCACATGTCATGGTGACCTTTCTGAGTACATGATTGCAAGAAAACTCAGGACTAAAGTGTGTATATACACGTGGACTGCCTACGTAAAAAGTGTCTTTCATGTGAGGTCGCTGCCAGGGCTGCTGGTGCTTCCACGGAGTACTCTCTCAGTGACGTCTCTGGGGGAGTAGCGTGCAGGCCAGACATATGAGCAGCCAGTGTGTCTTCCTGCACCACTGAAGAATGCCCACCTCTGTTCACCGCCAATTGACCTTGTGGTAACTGTGGCAGATGCCGTTTAAAGGTTGGACTCATGAAGTGCTGTAGGAGCAGATGGAGAGGGGGAGGGACAGCACTGCCCCTCCCACCTCGACAGCATCGGATGTCTCTGGAGCAGCCTCCATGGCAGGAGTCCAGGTACCCCCACACCCCTCTATATTGGTATCCGTAACCACCGCAGGTTGTCGGAGCAGCTATTCAGCTCTGGCCATGAGAAACACGGGCCCAGGTGTGTTTTGCTGGCCCTGCCTTGCTCTGGGCTCTCAACCTGTCCACTGCACAGCTGAACAAGAATCACAGCGGCATCTGTGATGTGGGAAACTATCATGTCAGTGCCACACCACCATTTTCCCGTGTGATTTTATCAAGATTTATCTTATCCACATTTTCATTGTGGATTTACATTATATATATATATATATATATATATATATATATATATATATATATATATATATATATATATATATATATATATATATATATATACACACATACACACACACAGCTAGACCCTGACTTACTATGGGGTTAGGGACCCAAATCCAGGTCGTAAGTCCAACATAAATAAAAAAAAAAATTTTGCCGTCTCTTCTTTGTCTTTGGAATAAGGGATGAGTTAGGACAACGCCATATATATATATATATATATATATATATATATATATATATATATATATATATATATATATATATATATATATATATATATATATATATATATATCTTGATAAAATCACACGGGAAAATGAGTGTGGTGATGCAGGGGAAACTGAGCAGAGGAAAGTGACGACACAGAAGCTGTCACTCTTATTGGGTGTCTGTACCAGCCTTCAAGAGATGATACAAGACATTGAGATTGACTTGGGTGAAAGGGAGCAAATGATTGGATTTGTAAAACTATTTCTATCAGCACAACGAGCCGCCCCCGGCAGCAGTCACTCATAACTCGCGTTCTTCACAACGCCGGCCAGCCGAGGAAGACCAACAGAGAGAGGTTGAAGTTGATGAAGACATTGATGACATTGGGGAAATGCCTGAAGATTTTGACTTTGCGGGGTTTTATGAAGTGTTAACGGAAGTGGGTGAACCAGGTGCGAGAGGCCATCGTGGGGATGGAGATGGCTCCAGGGAAGTGGGCGAAGGTTTGACGGTGTAGCCTCCATGCCCCAGCCTCGGAACAATTATCACACCAAGCACCTCAAATACTACCCCAAGGTAAGTGTTATATTACTCAAATTCTTTATTTTGATGATTGAATAACAATTCATTTTATTTCAGCTAACAAAAAGTGTTAGGAGGGCTTCAAAGGGGAAAAAATGGGTGAAATTCTTGGGGCGGCGGCACCAATAAACCCTTTTTATATGTATTTTAATGACACACAAAAAACGTTTTTGCTAATAATGGCGTTTTTTTTCAGGCACCTATTAGACCTTATTGGCTAGAGCCTACTGAATAAATAAAAAAATGGAAACGACAATGCATAGAACCTGACCTAACACGCTTAGGCTGGGTATTTTAGGCCAGATTTTATTAGGTTCTATGCATTATTTTGTATTTATTCTCTAATATAATGCAAATAACATTGCAGTATATTAAACACAGAAATGGAAACGAAAATGCACAGAACCCAATATAACCCGAAAATCTTTTTATTTACTCCATCCCGCTTCACAATTCTCCCGGTGCCATTTTTGTTGATTACCTCGCTGAATCCCTTTTCAAGAGACATTTCCTAAATGATGGTGAACGCTTCCACGTATTGCTCCTTGCCATTGCCGATGAATATCAACGCCAATATTAGGATGAGTTGTTTAACACAAATTAACATGCTAGTGCATTGAACTTAATAGAACTTGACCTAACAAGCCCATAGGTTGGGTATGTTAGGTCAGGTTCTCTTAGGTTATATGCATTGTCGTTAAAATTTTTGTTAATATCACGATATTAGTGTAGAAATTTTTTTTTTAACCGATTCGGACAATTCCTTCTGGTGGTCACCCTCTTCTATACCTTTACCTTTAATAGTAAAATGGTATAATAACAGACAGATTTTTTAAACTTGGTACAGAGTAAAGTTATTGTTTGTGTCTTTACCACCTTTGTTGACGTGAGCCTACACTTATGGCTTACACACTTTAATGATCTCAGCCTAATTATTAGCATTTAATAGTGAAACCTCCATATAATGGATTTCTCTCTCCATATAATATATTAATTTGGCATTTCACATGTAATGGACCCTTGATATAAAAACTTTCATCCATATAGATTGTGAAATCGTAGTGGATATTTTGTTATGATAGGTTAAGTTCCTACTAATGCTATTTTACTGTGAGTCTGCTTTGATTGACTAAGTACTTTCTGTTTAATATGGCGGGGACGCCCCCCCCCCCCTTCCTCCCAGCTAGGAAGTTAGGTAGGTTTCTTTGGTTGGTTAGGTCAGGCTTATTAGGTTCTAGTAAATGTTGCCTCGTTTATAGTGATAAGAATGTCTGGAAAAAATCAACAAAATTGAACAACAACTTCTGGTTAGGTATGTTTATAGCTACACAATGATTGACTTGTGGCAAAATAAATGCCAAATGCCGCCAATCATGGTCACAGATCGTTCTTGCGTTGTAAACCAGAAATGGACGATTAGCCAACCAGAGCACACTCATGGGGAAAATAGTGTTAGTAGGAACTTTGCCGATCACGGCAAAATATCCGCCCCTTATTAAATTAAAGTTTTCGGGAATCCTGGAGCAGAAGGCTAACACAAGAATGCATTGTTTGATTTGTGATTCTTTTTTCTCAGATGAATACTAAAAATTATATGACAAGGCACAGAACCTAATAGAACCTGACCTAACCAACCAAAGAAACCAACCTAACCTTACCTCACCCCCCCCCCCTGCCATATTAATCAGAATTTACGTATTTTGTTGTCTGGTACCAATTAAAGCAACTTT